TGTATCTTTAGTAGACACGGGGTTTCACCATGTTGGCCAGGTTGGTCTCGAACTTCTGACCTCGTGATCCACCCACCTCAGCCTCCCAAAGTGCTGGAATTACAGGCGTGAGCTACCGCAGCCAGCCTAGTCCATTCTTTTCTTTTCTTTTTTTTTTTTTTGAGATAGAGTCTTGCTCTGTCGCCTCGGCTGGAGTTGCCATGGCACGAGCTTGGTTCATTACCACCTCCATCTCCTGGATTCAAGTGATTCTCCTGCCTCAGCCTCCCAAGTAACTGGGATTACAGGCGCCCGCCAGCATGCCTGGCTAATTTTTGTTTTTTTAGTAGAGATGGGGTTTCACCATATTGGCCAGGCTGGTCTCAAACTCCTGACCTCAAATGATCCACCCACCTTGGCCTCCCAAAGTGCTGGGATTACAGGCGTGAGCCAACATGCCTGGCCTAATCCGCTCTTTAATACATTTTTTTACTGCATATATTTAAGGTATACAACATGATGTTATGAGATGTTATGAGAGACAGTAAAATGGTTACTATAATTGAAGGAAATTAACATACCCATCATCTCATACAGTCACCCATTTTTTTTTTTGTTTTTGTGGCAAGAGGAGTTAAAATCTACTCATTTACCATGAATCTCATATGCAGTGCAATTTTATTAATTGTAGTCCTCATGTTTTACATTAGATCCCTAGACTTGTTTATCCTACATATCTGAAAAATATGGAAATCTTCACAAATTTTTGTGTCACCTTTGAGCAGGGGCCATGCTAATCTTCTCTGTATCGTTCCAATTTTAGTATATGTGCTACGAAAGCAAGCACTAAACAATTATTTCATTATCCTTAGCAAACTAAGACAGGTACAGAAAACCAAATACGGCATATTGTCACTTATAAGTGGCAGCTACATGATGAGAACACATGGACACACAGAGGGGAACAACAGACGCGGGCCTATCAGAGGGTGGAGGGTGGGAGGAATGAGAGGATCAGGAAAAACAATTATTGGGTACTAGCTTAATATGTGGGTAACAAAATGATCTGTACAACGAACTCCTATGACACAAGTTTATCATAACAAACCTGCACATATACACCCTGAACTTAAATTTTTTAAAATTACTTTATACATAACTGTACTTCAAAGTATTTCAAAGATAACTGTACATAGAAAGTTCTCTCCTTTCTCAAGTGCCTTTGTTCTTCCAGCAGAGGGTGCTGTTGTTATAGGAAGTTGATAGAGCACATAGTAGCAAAGGCCTTCCCTCCACTTGTCTAAACCTTGCCTGAAAGCCCCAGGTAGGTGGCTCACATTGCTGCAAGGGACAGTGTCACAACTGTTCAAAGGTCAAACAATACCTGTAGACATTTGAGCTCTCAGGCAGGGCTGCATCCAGGCTGACGGGGCTGCTGCTGTTCCTCTCACTGCTTTCATAGCCAGATTCCATTCGCTGGATTAGTCGGGGGTGCTGCTCTAAAAGGTGAGAGCCTGGCCGTGCTGGGCCCCAGCGCTTGTACTGGGGGCTTGGTCCACCAAATTTAATGTCATAAGAAGGTGGTTTGCTTGGTTCATCTGGTATAAATTCTTTAGCTATCCCAATCAAAAGACAGGTATGGAAAACGAGGTAGATTTAGCATTTGCCTAAAATCAAGACCTAACTAACTCCTCCCTCTGGCTACTTACTCACTGAACTCATATCCTTAAAACACCCAACATCAGAGTAAAAATGCCCCTTGCCAGATGTACCAAAAAACCCAGGTTTTAAAAAGACACAAATCAACTTTATTCAAAAGCCCAATTCTTCCCCCATTCTTCCCTTATCTCCTCACCTGAATCCTCAGAAAAGGGGCTAAGCTGGGTATAGCCACAGTGCTTCCTTTTGTCCTTACTAAAGATACTGTCAATATTCAGAGATTCTCGTTTTGGTCTCCATGTTGGACGATACTTGCTGGAAGAACTGGATTTTGACTCACTGCTGGTACTCTCTATTTCCCAGTCACGAGAGTGTAAAGGTAGGGTCTTAGGAGGTTTTTTGTCAGGCTGGTCTCCTCCCCTGCCCCCACAGTGGGAGCCTACATTGGTCTGAGAAGCCAGGGATGGTCTGTTATGGATCATATTGCTGACTGTCTCTTTAAAATCCCTCAGCCTGTTGGTGCTGCTGGATGGTTTGGAGGCATTTCTAGGAGCCTGCTTCTCTTTCAGTGTTTCTCCTAAAAACACAAAGAATGAAAGAAATATAGATGTTTAAAGTGATCATGGATACTAGATCCCAGTGTCGAAAAAGCAAAGAAAAGCCCTTTGAGCAGAAAGGAGAAGCCAACAGTCTGGAGCATGACAGAAGTTTGATAGAGTGAATGAAGGAGAAAGAGAAGCAGTGCAGAGGGGCTTGCCTTCACTGTGGTATCCTGAGGCCTGGGGCTCGTCGCCTTTCTTCCTAACCCGACCAGAGCTCCTCTTGCGCTCTATCAGTGACCCTTTCTTGGATGTGTGTTTCTGATTACATTCACTATCAGTCAGGTGTCCTGAAAAAACAAGGAAATTGGGGTAAGCTGGTATCTGAGACTAACCTCCATCCTCCTGAGAACCTACCTAATCTCCCTTTGGGAGTGCCACAAATTTAGAGTACCCATGGAACAGAAGCTGTAGGGCATAGGCTATCTGATTTCAGTGTAGGAACCTCCCAGTAGATAAATGCAGAGAAGGGCCAGGTACAGTGACTCACACCTATAATTCCAGCACTTTGGGAGGCTAAGGCGGGCAGATCACTTGAGGCCAGGAGCTCGAGACCAGCCTGGCCAACATGGCAAAACCCTGTCTCTACTAAAAATACAAAAATTAGTCGGGCATGGTGGCATGTGCCTGTAGTCCCAGCTACTGAGAGGCTGAGGCATTAGAATCACTTGAACCCAAGAGGTTGCGGTGAGCTGAGATCATGCCACTGCACTCCAGCCTGGACAACAGAGCAAGACTCTGCTAAAAAAAAAAAAAAAGGATAAATGCAGAGAAGCTGGGAGCATCCAAATATACAATGTCTTGACCAATCTCAATCCCACTGATAATCTTCCCCAGTGACCCAGAAGGTCTAACGACATGTTTCTAGGTAACTTTTTAAAGGCAAAAGTTTTAAAGATTATATAAAAATGTCAGGTAGCCATATACTTTCGCTCTCATAAATTGAAGACAGAGTTTTCCTTTTATTTATTTAGCAACACATATCAAATAAAGTCTGATTTTCAGTACATCTGGTATTATCCTGGATACTCCAGACTTTGCCCACAAGAGCTCTGATTGTATATGGCTTTAAGACCCAGTTCTAAGCTTCCCTTAATTGTAGATCATTTAAAGGACACTTCAACTTTGATTAATTCTCATTCCTATCCCCTACCCATGCTTCACAAAACTTGGCTCTATCCAGAGATTACACGTCACAGTTCCTTAATACTAATCACTGGGAAAACCAGGAGAGCTGGGCTCTTTTATGTAACTTGCCCAGCTTCATGCCCATAGTATGCAAATACATGAGCATGATTTGATGACAGCAAAGGTCAGATTCTAAAGGATATAAGCAACTAAAGTGCTGGAAGCCAGAGATGAATTAAGCAGGTAAAATAATTTTGAAGATACGCTTAGGAAAAAAAAAAAAAAACCCTAGGTCAAATGCACGGAAAGCTAACAAAAGTTTGTTTTCACATGACAGTATATGAAAATCCTTATACATATTCAGGTATCACCAGTGTAGTGATATGGATAAATATTTTCAATCAGTTGCCCCTTGGAATCTTGTATTGCTTTTATTTGGTCCTTTTCTACCTCTGTGCCCACAAGAAAGATTTAAGAGAGGAGGAAATGACTTGGAGCAACTAAGTCTTTCTTTTTTTTTTTTTTTTTTTTGAGATGGAGTCTAGCTGTGTCGCCCAGGCTGGAGTGCAGTGGCATGATCTTGGCTCACTGCAAGCTCCGCCTTCCGGGTTCACGCCATTCTTCTGCCTCAGCCTCCTGAGTAGCTGGGACTATAGGTGCCTGCCACCACGCCCAGCTAATTTTTTGTATTTTTTTTAGTAGAGACGGGGTTTCACCATGTTAGCCAGGATGGTCTCTATCTGACCTCGTGATCCGCCCACCTTAGCCTCCCAAAGTGCTGGGATTACAGGCGTGAGCCACTGCGCCTGGCCGCAACTAAGTCTTACAAATGTTAAACCAATGGGCATGTTCTCCATTCCTCACACCCTCCCTGCCAAAACCCCTAAACCATTAACACAAATCTGCCTCTACTGGAAAATACGCTTAGTTTATCCTGTGGCTTGGCTTCTCCCTGGTTCACAGATTCAAAAAGTGGGTCTAAAAAACTCACATCTGACACAATCAATGCAGTAGTCATCAAAAGAAAGCCAACACAAGTCTGACCAAACCTCTAGGTCCAACTACCAATTTACAAGAAATATAGGACACGGAAACATGTTAAAGTATACCATAGGAATAAAATCAGCAAAATTCAGAATGTGGGAAATCTACAGGACAAAATACCTAGTTCTAGCAATAAATTGCAAGGAAAAAAATAGAGGAAAAAACATTATATTAAAAGAAACGCAAAGGACTTATCAACTCATCACAATACACAGACCTCATTTAGATGCTGAGTCAAACGCATAAACCATGAAAATATTATAATACTTGTAAGTGGATATTTGAACACTCATTGGTTACCTAGCAGTTTTAAGGAATTATCATTACTATTTTTAAGTGTTATAATGCTACATTTAAAAAGTGATTTCTTATGTTTCAGCAAACATAAGAAATATTTATGGAAAATGTGATAAAATGCCTGGGATGTGCTTCAAAATAATCCAGGAGTGGGTAAAGGTACAGGTAAAACTAGATTGGCTGTGAGTTGTAATTATTGAAACTAAGTGATGAGTACATGAATGGGCAGTACACTATTCTATATAGCTTTGAATATCTTTGAAATTCTTGATATTAAAAAAAAAAGCCCCCCCAGCTTATAAACCACCAATCTCAAACAATGAGCTCACGAATTCCCACAGTCCCTAAGAATATGGATACTGTTCTATGCCTTAGGTATTCTATCTCCCAGAATAAACTTCTCATCTCAGCAGTCATTCACTGTTCTTGCTTGTATTGATTTCTTCCTCTGACATGGGTATACTCTCCTACAGATAAACAAAACAATGCAAGAATATTCTCCGCATGGAACTCACAATAACAAATAGATTATCTTTCATTCTTTTGCTTCTCTATCCTTCAGGAAGCTTAGCAAACTGACATGCAGTTGTCCCTCACCAATCCCATAAATAGGCCCCTTCTATCAAAGCTCTTCACTTAGGACAAAGCCTGGCATGAGAACACGATGATATGCAAGATCACAGGGGCTTAATGGGATACCATGGGAATCAAGAGGATAGGAGGAGAAAGGCAGACTTGAGAATAATCACGTCAGTAATCACATTACAATCTTTATTGACATGCTGCTATTGACAGGAGTATGTGCAATGGAGCATCATGGTTCATTCAAAACTGTGTTGCTTCTTTGTATCCCATTCAATTGCCCAAATTCTGTGCCATTCTGCCTTTGCATAACAAACATTTCTGACTTGCCCCAGTTTCTTTTTCTTCTTTTTTGAGTCTCACTCTGTCGCCCAGCCTGGAGTGCAGTGGCGTGATCCCAGCTCACTGCAAGCTTCGCCTCCTGGGTTCACGCCATTCTCTTGCCTCAGCCTCCTGAGTAGCTGGGACTACAGGCGCCCGCCACCACGCCCGGCTAATTTTTTGTATTTTTAGTAGAGACGGGGTTTCACCGTGGTCTCGATCTCCTGACCTTGTGATCCGCCCGCCTCGGCCTCCCAAAGTGCTGGGATTACAGGCGTGAGCCACCGTGCCCAGCCAGAGACGGGGTTTCACTGTGTGTTAGCCAGGATGGTCTCGATCTCCTTACCTTGTGATTCTCCTGCCTCTGTCTCCTTATGTGCTGGTATTACAGGCATTTGCCACCTTGCCTGGCTAATTTTTTTTGTATTTTTAGTAGAGATGGGGTTTCACTGTGTGTTAGCCAGGATGGTCTCGATCTCCTGACCTTGTGATCCGCCCGCCTCGGCCTCCCAAAGTGCTGGGATTACAGGCGTGAGCCACCGTGCCCAGCCAGAGACGGGGTTTCACTGTGTGTTAGCCAGGATGGTCTCGATCTCCTTACCTCGTGATCCGCCCGCCTTGGCCTCCCAAAGTGCTGGGATTACAGGCGTGAGCCACCACACCCGGCCTCCCAGTTTCTTTTTCTTAGGAGATCTATGCAGGAATTGATTCAGGCAAGCAGGACCCTCTGTGTAAGTCCCTACCTGTGTCCCGACTGCTCTGAGACATGGAATCATTCTCCACATTATAGATGACTGTCCCCTGAGAATCAGAAGAGAAGTGACTGACCACAGACTCATGGTGGGAATGTTTGTAGGGATAGCTCTCCGTTGAGGAATCTGTTCGAGTGTCACTTGAGATGGAGGGCTCCCTCCCTGAGGGAAGGAGGAAACACATATGCAAAAAGTGAGGAAACAGAACAGTAACAGAGAGAAGGAAAAGAGATGGACACAACAAAGCTCCATAAGGCAAGAACTTCCTAGACACAAGTGTGAGAAGGATATGCTATACCATCGAGCCATTCTTCACAACACCCAACTTCCAGATCACCCAGACACATGTAAAATTCCTCCCATCCCTTTCCCTACCTTGCTGAAGCCCTCACTTTGCCTGCCACTGTGAAAACCTGTGAGGGTTTTACAAAGTCTATCAGGGAAAAAACTGAAGTAATGAAAAAGTTGTGAAAAGTAGGATATATTTAGATGGAAAGTTCCAGGACAACCTGTCATACATAGTCAGTTGTTCTCCTATCCCATAATCTTTCTCCTATACTCCCAAGAACGTCACTTAAAATTTCTGAATGGATATTAGATGCATTTTTAATGTCTCTGAGAAATTATTGGGGCTGTTACTTATATGAAATACATTAGTATAAATTAGTTCAATCAGACTGCTTCCCTCTGAATAGATAGCTGAGATAAGTATAATAGGACAAATGGGTATTTGATTGAAGGGAAAAGAGGTAGAACAGGTCTGGGTGGGGTATGAGAGGTGGAAGAAAGCACCAGGTACCAAGCAGGAGGGAGGTACAAAGGGGAGAAAGAAAGATGTCAAAGTCAAGCATCTTCTCTTTCAAAATTATATTAAGGGCCAGTACCAGATCTAGAAGAGTAAAATAATATTTCTTCTTCCTTTTCAGAAATCAAGCCAAAACTATTAGGTTATACCTCAAATACATTATAAGATCCTGTGGGCTATCCTAGAACTTTAGCCATCAAGCTGAAAGTTGTTTTTACAGAAAGTCATTACTTAAGTTCTAAACAATTAACTTAGAAGTGAAAAAGTGATTCATAAGCAGACAAATATCACTACTGGACATGGAATTCCTCCCCCGCCCCCCGCCAAGACAGAGTCTTGCTATTTTGCCCAGGCTAGGCTCAAACTCCAGGTTCAAGTGATCCTCCCACCTCAGCCTCCCAAATAGCTAGGATAACAGGCATGCATCACCCTGCCCAGCTACACATTTGCAGTTTTAAAACAAAAATATCTCATGCCAAACAAAATAACTAGCCTTATAGTGGCTCAAATAAAACAACTCAATTAAGTCACTGTTAAATTGCTTATAAAAATCAGCCATCCTCAACACTCTTTTGACAACTGAAGGAAATAAAGGCTGGCACAAGTTAGGCTTCAGCACAGATTGGCACTTCTTTCTTACCTCTAATGGATCCTCTTTCTCCAAGCTAGGTTACGTGCTAAGGACATAATTAAGTATGAGTCCCAACTGTTTGATCACATGGGGTGAGAAGAGAAGAGAGGTAAAGAGCCAGGCTGCTCACCTGAATCTTCACTGTCGTAGCATGTCCTGCTGTATGAATGGAACTCAGCTTGGGGAGGCAGGTCCTGGGTGGATACTGGGGTACCCTGGGGATCTGCATAAAGCAGCAGCAGGGGCTGATAATGCCCCTTGATGCATTTGGTCACCACATCCTTCCATTTGGGCCCAATCTGAACCAGAAACAACCAAAAGAACAGGACAATTATACTTCATATCCACAATTCACAACATATCTTCCTGTTCTATATTTCTAAAGAAAATAAAAGAGATGAAAAGACAAGAATTGGGTAAAAAGGCAGCAAAAAAGATCTCAGACCTAACACTTTTTTTATTAAATCTTTTTTTTTTCCTTTGCTAAGTCCTTTTAGAAAGCACTGAAATCCTACAGAAGAATAAAAGAATGAATAAAATTACTTTTATTTCTGTGAACCATCAACTCAGTTGTAAAATAGGAATAAAAGTTATCAAAGGTGGATATGCTATGTGAGGGAACTTCAGCTGCCTTGGTGACCAATTTCTTTTCACAGACATCAGATTTAAGCCCTCACTAGAAATCTGCATTTCCTTAGTTTTCTCCCAAATATTAAAATCACTTTCATGAAGCTGAAGAGCAGACAGAAACTCTCTCACAGACTGCCTTACAACAAATGACATTCAGTTTCAGAGTTTGCAAATGGCAGGATATAAAATGTCAAACTGCTTAGAATAGACAACTGAACCTCTCGGCCTTAGCCCTGTGCTGGATTCAGCTCTGTTACCACAGTGGAAAAGTGTAAGAGAACACCCACGGAATCAATTCAACCCAGTCCTCAAACTCACCCCATCTTAAGCTTGAACCAGTCACACTTCTTACATAATGTGCCGCTCTTGGGGTTGGACAACTAGCATAGTGGTATGTTAATAATAGATGTCCAGTAAACTTATAACTGAGTTATTATTTTAATTAAAACATTTATATGCTCTTCACATATTAATATAATCATATTTACTACTTTGTAAGGGTATTTTCAAATAAAAACCCTAAATCTAAAAGAATTTATATAAATTGCCCCAAATTACAATACTACAAAAAGAGACAAAGAAAAGAATAAGGGAATTTGACAAACACTTTACTATTTGTGGAAGACACTGCTTAAAGTCTGTGGATTGGTGTAGATTAGTCACACCTTATCTCCTTATCTGCTAACCTTATCACAAGCAGCTTCCTAACTTATGCAGATCACATAAGCCACTTCAATCGCAAACTCTGTAGTTTAGACAGTATCAACTTTCCTGCTTTATCATTATAACCCTATGTGACTTATAACTATCCCAAAACACATGTTACTCTGTGATGGGGCACTTCAGGAAGATAACAAAGAATAATTTACAGCAGCCCTGACACAAAGTAGTACCCACCGGTAACTCCAAGATCTGAAATTCTGAACTTTGTATTAACCTTATAACCTCATTTGAGGCATTAGAGTGTTCCTACTCAAATCAATCAACACACACATTAAAAAAACAAATAACAACAAACAACCATTCCTCTCTGGAGTCCTAGTTTCCAAGAAGACAAAGAAAAGAAAGAACATGGCATGCCAAAAAAGGGCTGCAGCTATGTGCAGCCCATTCACTGCATGAACTGTGCCGGATGCATGCCCAAGGACAAGGCTATTAAGAAGTTTCTCATTCAAGGCCAGGCACGGTGGCTCACATCTGTAATCCCAGCACTTTGGGAGGCCGAGGCAGGTGGATCACTTAATGTCAGGAGTTAGAGACCAGCCTGGCCAACGTGGAGAAACTCCTTCTCTATTAAAAATACAAAAATCAGCCAGGCGTGATGGTGCACGCCCATAAGCCCAGCTACTTGGGAGGCTGAGGCACAAGAATCACTTGAGCCGGGGAGGCAGAGGTTGCAGTGAGCCGAGATCATGCCCCTGCACCCCAACCTGGGTGACAGCGCAAGACCCTGTCTAAAAAAAAAAAAAAGTTTCTCATTCAAAACATAGTAAAGGCTGCAGCTGTCAAAGACATTTCTGAAGTAAATTTATTTGATGCCTACGTGCTTCCTAAGCTGTATGTAAAGCTACATTACTATGTGAATTGTGCCATTCATAGCAAGGTAATCAGCAATCAATCTCCTCAAGCCCAAAAGGTGCTAACATCCCCACCCAGATTTAGACCTTCGAGTGCTGACCCATGAACTCCACCAAAGCCCACATAAGGAGCTGACTCCTCAGGACTGAAGAAAAACTATTTTCTAGGAAAAAAAAAGGAGATTATACTTTCAAAAAAATACTTTGGGCCAAGCACTGTGGCTCACGCCTGTAATCCCAACACTTTGGCAGGCTGAGGAGGGAGGATCACTTGAGCCCAGGAGTTCCAGACCAGCCTAGGTAACATCTCTAAAACAAACAAAAAATTTTAACTAGCTGAGTGTGGTGACCACACACCTGTAGTTGCCACTACTCAGGAGACTAAGGTGAGAGGATTGCTTGAACCTGGAAGATAAAGGCTGCAGTGAGCCATTATCATGCCACTGCACTCCAGCCTGGGTAATAGAGTGAGAAGACCCTATCTCAAAAAATAAAATAAAATACTTTGTCACCTATAAATACAAAACTGCTGAATGCCTGGTGAGGGGATTCAGAGGATATAATAGAAGATACACTGTTCCTATCCTCGAAGAACTAGCCATCTTCAGGGGAAGACAAGATGATACCTTCATAAATTCAACAGGCAGACAGATATAAAAATATAAAATACTCCAGGCACGGTGGTTCATGCCTATAATTCCAGCACTTTGGGAGGTTGAGGCAGGCGAATCACAAGGTCCGGAGTTCGAGACCAGCCTGGCAAACATAGTGAAACTCTATCTCTACTAAAAATACAAAAATTAGCCAGGTGTGGTAGCATGCACATGTAGTCCCAGCTACTCAGGAGGCTGAGGCAGGAGAATCGCTTGAACCCAGGAGGCAGAGGTTGCAGTGAGCCGAGACCAAGCTATTGCACTCCAGCCTGGGTGACAGAGTGAGACTGCATCTCAAAAATAAATAAATAAATAAATAAATAAATAAATAAAATAAAAATATAAATATAATACGTTGTATGGAAATGTGGGGAGGTCCCATTCGAAATTATGAAAATGAAACACTAAAGACAAATAATTATTCTTTTTTTTTTTTTGTAGTCACCAAACACTTCAAAAAGGGCTTGACTATTCCTACCTCCTTAACATGAGCATCATCAAAATACATCCATTTGCGAATCTTTGTTTGAAAAAAGAATGTAGAATAATGTTTGCCATAGTAACAGATCATTCCTACTAAGTACAGTTCAGATTGCTTGGCCCGGTCATCTGTCACTCTGAAAAACAGCTGGGGGGAAAGAAGAGAAAAGAAAGTACAGTCATATATTCAACCCTCCCACATCATCTCTCAGCAGACTCCATCGACATTTCTTAAGTAAGGTACTGACTTGCTTCTCTTCCCTTCAGTTTAAGATTTTTGTTAGTTTAGATTAATCATCAGAACTTAACTTTAGCACTTTGTGAGGCCAAAGTAAGAGAATTACTTGAGGACAGGAGTTCGAGAACAGCCTAGACTAGACAGCAAGACCCTATCTTTAGGCCCAGCGTGGTGGCTCACGCATGTAATCCCTACACTTCAGGAGGCCGAGGCGAACAGATCTCTTGAGGGCAGCCTGGCCAACATAGTGAAATCCCATCTCTACTAAAAATACAAAAATCAGCTGGGCGTGGTGGTGCACGTCTATAATCCCAGCTACTTGGGATGCTGAGGCAGGAGAATCACTTGAACCCGGGAGGCAGATTGCAGGGAACCGAGATCATGACACTGCACTCCAGCCTGGGCAACAGAGTGAGACTCCATCATAAAAAACAAAACTAAACTAAACAAAAACACCCTATTTTTACAAAAAAAAATTTTAATTAGCCAGGTGTGGTAAGTGCACACTTAAGTGCTAGCTGTTCAGGAGGCTGAGGTGGGAGGATCCTTTGAGCCCAGGAGTTTGAAGCTTCAGTAAGCTATAATTGTGCCATACTCCACTCTAACCTGGGTGGCAAATCAAAAACCTCTCTAAAAAAATAATTCTTTTAACTAAAAAAAAAAAAAAAATTGACCAGACATGGTGGCTCATGCCTGTAACCCCTGCACTTTGGGAGGCCAAGCCAAGAGGATCACTTGAGCCCAGCAGTTCACGATCAGCCTGGAGAATGAAGCCAGATCCTGTCTCTACAAAAAATAAAAAATTATCTGGGCATGGTGGTGCACACCTGTAGTCCCAGCTACTCAGAAGGCTGAGGCAGGAGGATCACTTGAGCCCAGGAAGTCAGTGCTACAGTGAGCTGTTTCTCCCACTATACTCCAGCCTGGATGACAGAGCAAGACCCTGTCTCAAAAAAAGAAAAAGAAAGAAAGAAAAAAATTAACCTAAACAGACAAAAAGGAAAAGCAAGACAGATAGTGGCCAGTAAACTGGTATGGTGATGATCTTTCTTCATATCTTTCAATAATTTTCTTATCAGGGCCTATCATAAGAGGAGCCAGGAAAGTTGGATTAAAAAAAAAACAACAACCGGCCAGGTGCAGTGGCTCACACCTGTAATCCTGGCACTTTGGGAAGCCAAGGTGGGCAGATCACCTGAGGTCAGGAGTTTGAGACCAGCCCGACCAACATGGGGAAACCCCGCCTCTACTAAAAATACAAAAAAATTAGCCGGGCGTGGTGGCGGGCGCCTGTAATCCCAGCTACTCGGAAGGCTGAGGCACGAGAATTGCTTGAACCCAGGAGGTGGAGCTTGCAGTGAGCCAAGACCGTGCCATGGCACTCCAGCCCCACGACAGAGCGAGACTCCCATCTCAAAAAAAAAAAAAAAAAAAAAAAAAAAACCGGCTGGGCGTGGTGGTTCGCATCTGTAATCCCAGCACTTTGGGAGGCCGAGGTGGAGGACCACGAGGTCAAGAGATCGAGACCATCCTGGCCAAAATGGTGAAACCACGTCTCTACTAAGAATACAAAAATTAGCTGGGAGTGGTGGCGCACACCCGTAGTCCCAGCTACTCAGAAGGTTGAGGTAGGAGAATCTCTTGAACCGGGAGGTGGAGGTTGCAGTGAGCCGAGATCGTGCCACTGCACTCCAGCCTGGCACAGAGCGAGACTCCCTCTCAAAAAACAAACAAACAAAACAAAACAAAACCCTATCTACCTGCCTACTTCCAAAAGTTTTTTTTATCAGCTGATCCCACAAATAAAATTTTCTTGTTAATAACCTAAGTAGAGCAATACAGCCATGCTCATTATCAGCATTTCAATTCCTAGCTGCCCAACACAGTCCTAAGAGCTAAGACACACATTTAAAAAAAAAAAAAAAAAAAATTGAAGGAAAGGATTCTGGCCTTGAGGAACCTATTTGGTTGAAAAAACAATCATGAAAATTAAACCTTGAGCTTCAAGTTAGTGATAAGTTTAAAAAAAAAAAAAAAAAAGAACAGTACAGAATATGTAGGTCACAGAAATTTAGAATAAATGATTGTTTTTGATGCCAGGCGCGGTGGCTCACGCCTGTAATCCCAGCACTTTGGGAGGC